CGACGAGGGAGCCGCGTAAGGCGGCGAAGACGACGAGGGAGCCGCGTCTGGCGGCGAAGACGACGAGGGAGCCGCGTCTGGCGGCGTAGACGACGAGGGAGCCGCGTCTGGCGGCAAAGAAACCTTGGAGGACGCAGCATGCATCATAGAGTCCTGGGGAGACGCAGCATGCGTCATAGAGTCCTGGGGAGCTGCAGCAGCCGACATGGAGGGCCATGGAGGCGAACCCTCAGTGGTAGTGGAGGGCGCCGACCCCTCTGGAGACTTGGAGGGCGCCGACCCCTCTGGAGACTTGGAGGGCGCCGACCCCTCTGGAGACTTGGAGGGCGCCGACCCCTCTGGAGACTTGGAGGGCGCAGCAGATGACGTGGGAACCTGGAGAACTGGAGCGTGCGACATAGAGTCCTGGGGAGCTGCAGCGGACGACGGAGAGGCCTGGAGCTCTGCAGCGGACGACGGAGAGGCCTGGAGCTCTGCAGCAGACGGCGTGGGAGCCTGGAGAGCTGCAGCGGCGGCAGGAACCGACTCCTCTGCCTTGGCGGCAGGAACTGATCTTCTGCGGCGGCGGCGGGAAACAGAAACAGATGCTGAGTCCTCTGAGGCGACAGGAGCAGGTGCACCAACGGCGAGGCGCTCAGCAGGCGGAACAGCGGCGAAGGTGATGGGTGCAGGAGTCAGAGGAGCAGAGGAGAGTTCAGAAACGGTGGTGCCAAAAGTTGCAGGATGGATTATGGGTTCAGAATGTGTATTAGTGACCTTGGGTGTGATGAGAGTCCTAATTTCTATTAATAAACGATTATACTCAGGGAGCAGAATGAGACCGGGCCGTGAAACTAAAAATTCTTCCATCAGGGAAAATATAACATCTGAGCAGTCCGGGTTATGTTTAGCATTGAGAAATTAATCTAGTAAAGTCTGGTTTATTAGTGCAAGTTCATGGGATGAATATGTGATTGACGGACAAATGTCTTTAAATGAGGGTGTGGTGTCAGGTGTCGGCCCCACCGGAAACCTGGGAGGTGGGGTGGCGGAACACGCCCCCACAGAGTCACTGGGAGTTTGCTCAGGCGGTTCGGTCAGACTGGGTTGGACAGCCGCGGCACGGTGTGACGGTGGGAGGCCGGATTCCGCCCCCACCAGGAACCTGGAAGGTGAGGCGACGGAACCCGCCCCTGTAACGTCAACCGGACCGGACCCACCGAACCGAGCAGGAGTGGACCGGAGCTCCCGCGGGACGCTGGATCTCGCCCCCACCGGAAACCTGGGAGGTGAGGCGGCGGACCCCGCTCCCACAAAAACACCGGAACCAACTCTAAGATTCTGCTCAGCCGACGAGACCGGGCCGGTCACCGCGGACTGCCCCCGGGACCGCTTTCTTCCTCCCCGGCGACGGCGGGAGAGTCGGGGGACAGGAACAAAACAGAATTCGTCCTCCATTTCTTCGTCCTCCCCCGACGTCCACCCCGAATAGCCGGGCGAGGCGGACTCAGAAACAGGAGCCCGGTGGGTTCCCCGGTGCCGAGACCTGTTCTCCTCGAGGACCAGGAGTGGTGAGGACAGGATTTCTACCTCCTGGTCATAATGTCCTTGTGGGCGGACGGGCCTGGTGCAGAACCCGCCGCACCAGATTGTGGACTTGCTCATCACAGGAAGGCTCAGAGGAGAAAAAGAAAAAAGGTAAGTTGCCGAGAGAATCCTGCCCGCTGGGTTCTGATATGTGGTCGGGTCGTAATGTCAGGATTTGGTAGTCAGGGACAAACCCAGTTGTGCAGACAGGACTCAACTCGGCAGATTACAAAAAAAAGTATTTTAATAGTGAATAAAGAAAAAAATAAACAGCTGACGTGGCAGCAAAACTTGCATGAAAACGGTAGGCTCAGAGGGAAACTCAGGAAGGACTCAGGAAGCTCAAGGGAGACTCAGGAGAACGCAGGAGAACACAGAGACCCAACGAATACGACCCGACGAGGAACAAAACAGAACAGATGGCTTAAATACAGGGACAAAACGAGACGTGATTACAAACTGCTGTGACGAGACAAGGGTGGCACCAATTAAACTGAAGAGGAAACACTAGGGAAACAGACACAAACAGAATCAGCAAATGGTACCATCCTTACAGTAGTGAACTGGCTCCTCTGTATCCCTCATTCCACAAACACACAACAAACAGGTGAGCCAAACCAACTCCTGTCAAATGCCGGACATTTGGGTGTCCTGCTCTTCCTTATACGGAACAAGGTGGGCAAAATCCGGAACTGTCCCTCCCAAATCGGGACGGTTGGCAGATATTTTAAACAGAGAAGACGAGTGATTCGTTCATATTTGTACTAATGAGCCAATCAGCTTTCATGAAGCGCATGTGATCCAAATATGTAACCCCAGAACCATTCATCCATCCATTTTCTTCTGCTTATCCCGGGTCGGGTCGCGGGGGTAGCAGCTTAAGTAGGGAGGTCCAGACTTCCTTCTCTCCAGCCACTTGGGCTAGCTCCTCCGGGGGAATCCCGAGGCGTTCCCAGGCCAGCCGAGAAACATAGTCCCTCCAGCGTGTCCTGGGTCTTCCTCTGGGTCTCCTCCTGGTGAGACATGTCCGGAACACCTCACCAGGGAGGCGTCCAGGAGACATCTTAACCAGATACCTGAGCCACCTCAACTGTCTCCTCTCGATGTGGAGAAGCAGCGGCTCTACTCTGAGTCCCTCCCGGATGACTGAGCTTCTCACCCTATCTCTAAGGGAGAGCCCAGACACCCTGCGGAGAAAACTCATTTTGTCCACTTCTATCCGAGATCTTGTTCTTTCAGTCACAACCCAAAGCTCATGACCATAGATGAGGGTAGGAACGTAGATTTGATCGGTAAATTTAGAGTGTCGCTTTTTGACAAAGTTCTCTCTTCACCACGACAGACCGGTACAGTGCCAGCTTTACTACAGCCACTGCACCTATCCGATGCACGACATCCTGAGTTGAGGTCAGCAGCATATCACCTCCACTATAAACAGTGTTGGTGGTGTACTGCTTCCCCCTTCGAGACACACCGGATGGTGGACCAGAATCGCCTCAAAGCTGTATGGAAGTCATTCTCCATGTCCTCTCCGAACTCCTCCCATGCCCAAGTTTTTGCCTCAGCGACCACCCGAGCCACATGCCACTTGGACTGCAGATACCCTGATAGGACTCCTTCTTCAGCCTGACAGCATCCCTTACCGCTGGTGTCCACCACCGGGTTCGAGGTTTGCCGCCACGATAGGCACCGACAACCCTGCGGCCACAGGTCCAATAAGCCGCCTAGACGATGGAGGCGTGGAACATGGCCCACTCGAACTTAATGTCCCCCCACCTCCCCCGGAACGTGTTCGAAGCTCTCCCGGAGGTGGGAGTTAAAGCTCTGTCTCACGGGAGACTCTGCCAGACGTTCCCCAGCAGACCCTCACAATATGTTTGGGTCTGCCAGGTCTGACCGGCATCCTCCCCCACCATCGGAGCCAACTCACCACCAGGTAGTGGTCAGTGGACAGCTCCGCCCCTCTCTTCACCCGAGTGTTCAAGACATGTGGCCGCAGATCAGATGAGATGACAACAAAGTCGATCATCGAACTGCGGCCTAGGGTGTCCTGGTGCCAAGAGCACATATAGACACCCTTATGCCTGAACATGGTGTTCGTTATGGACAATCCATGACGAGCACAGAAGTCCAACAACAGAACACCTCTCGGGTTCAGATCAGGGGGGCCGTTCCTCCCAACCACACCCCTCCAGGTTTCACTGTCATTGCCCACGTGAGCGTTGAAGTCCCTCAGCTGGACAAGGGAGTCCCCAGGAGGTACACTCTCCCAACCCAGAACCAGTCAAATGAAAACAAGTTTCTTGACTCAGTTTCTCAGCTGCCCAGTTTAGTTTGGGGAGCATGACGGCCTAGTGGTTAGTGCTGTTGCCTCACTGCAAGAAGGTCCTTGGCTCAAGACCTGTTTTGGACTTGGGGTCTTTTTGTGTGATGTTTGCATGTTCTCCACGTGTTTGTATGTTTTTTTTCCCTCCTTGTACTCCGGTTTCCTCCCACAGTCCAAAAACATGCATATTCGGCTGCCTACAGCTCCAGGCCTCTCTTGTAGATGTGATCAGTGATCTCTATGGGATTTGACTGCAAGGCCGGATTAACCATATGAGCAACTGGTCAACTGCCCAGGGGCCCATGATCACTAAGGGGCCCAGGGCAGTGAGGGCACAAGTAAAATATCTGGTTATCTCCTGCTTTACTTGGAGCGCTGCGCTGCACAGACTGCTGCGCTGCACAGACTGCTGCGCTGCACAGACTGCTGCGCTGCACAGACTGCTGCGCTGCACAGACTGCTGCGCTTCACAGACTGCTGCGCTTCACAGACTGCTGCGCTTCACAGACTACTGCGCTTCCGCTGCATTTGGGCAGCCCCGCCTCCTACCAGCGCGGCTGCTGCAGTTCTCGTTTTTTTTTCTTTCTTTTTTCAATCGGATCCTCGACGGTGCGACCTGTCAATCAACTCAGAAGGCTTGTCAGTAACTGACCAATCGACAACCTCGATTTGTCCCGAAGGTAAACGCCCCTTACCTGCTGACAAGCTCATCAGTTTTTTTTTTCTTAAGAAACATTGTTTTAATTAAAACAACAAGTTTGTATCTGTTGTGAGATGATTTTAGCAGTTTTGCAGATTTTTAATCTACTTAATGAAGAATAGTACGACTTAAAATTGTTCATCAAACAGGAAGGAAGGCTTATAATTAATAAAATAATTTCCCTCTGGGATTAATAAAGTATTTTTGAATTGAATTGAATTATTATCCCTCCTCTTACCACAATGAATGTGGTACTTTGCTATAAGTACGACTATATTTATGGCATCAGAGAAAGCTGAGCTTATCCACATAAAGTAAAATGGCATCAGCACAAAAAGAAGGATTATTAAGTTTGAGATGAATCCAGTTTCTGATGTCTGACCAAACACTTTGTATTGACATTCAAATAAAAATTGCTCGAGGGATTCATCTTCTGATTTACAAAAGACACACAAATCAACATCAAATTTAAATATTCTTTGCAGAAACATGGCTACAGGATATATCTTATTTATTATTTTTAAATGATTTTCCTTCACTTTAGTAGATTTAGGCCATTTGACAAATTTAGAATGAGCAGAAGTCATTATATGATTTATATTAGGAGGTTTCTTGAAGGAATCTTTGTTATACTCAGTAAATCCTTTGTCGCAAACATTCATTGATAATCTTATTACATTTGAAGTCAACTACGTTACAGGCATTTAGTTTTAATGTGGGCATCAAATCGTCACTTTTAAATACATAATATATTTAATTAATTGAATCAGCTGTTGGTCGGGCTACTTCTTGTTGTGCCATTAGCTCTAAAATAGTTATTGAATCAAGTGTTTACTTCCATCCATCCACGGGAGTAGCAGCCTAAGTAGGGAGGCCCTGACTTCCCTCTCTCCAGCCACTTGGACCAGCTCCTCCAGGGGAATCCCAAGGAGTTCCAAGTGTTTACTTATGTAGGTAAAACTAGATGTTAAACAACCATTAAAATACACCAGAATGCAGGAAATGGCATCTACTTTATTAAAAAATTTCTGGGGGAGGACCCCCAGACCCCCCCATCAGTGTGTCCCCTCCACACACACACATTATAAATGCTTCTGACACCAGTTGCCAACATGTTACTAAACAAGTACACATATGGTGTCATGTAGTGTTCAAAGTGCGTTCAACTTAATTCGGTCTTGTTGATTTGTGTCAATGAGCATTTGGAGTTTTATACATAAAAATACACTTGATAGTTAAAATTTTAAGTATATTTACTGTATATTTTGGTAATTTATTCTGTATTTTGCCAGATTATGGTGATTCTGGGGTCGTGATGATGGGGCCCTTGAAGATTGTTGCCCAGGGTACAGCGAAGTGTTAATCTGGCCCTGTTTGACTGGTTAAATAAACGTTCATAAATAAACAAGTTAAAACATCTGTCCACTTTACTACTTTCTTCTTCTTCGTTGTCTTCGTCTTCCAGCTTTTCCTTCTTCAGGGGTCTCCACAGCGAGTTGTTCAATCTGTGCTGTACCTCCGATGATCTCATTCCTAATCTGATCCATCCTTGTCACTTCTGAGGAGAACCTCAACATCTTCATTTCTGCTACTTCCAGTTCTTCCTCCTGTCTTTTTGTCCATGTCTCTGTCTCCAGACCATACAGCATAGCTGGTCTCAAAATAAACCGTTCTTATTTACAGCATTCATAATACCCTTTTCACAGACAAATGTATTTTTTCAGTCAGTCACAACATTATATAATTTTTCATCTATGCACAAGTTGAAACTAGTTACTTTTGTTTATAAGTGATGTCCTTTCCTTAGCAAGACACCTACAGTTAAAGATGTGAACTGCAGGAGACATAGTGCATTTCAACACGTAGCCAATATGTCTCCATGTTGGCAACAAACTCTTCATTACCAGCGATCAACCGGTTCATTTTGTAGCCTGACAAATTAAACTCATGGTAAATCTTTTTTTGTGTGTGTGTCTTCATTGTTCACATTTTTTCTGTTTCTGTCCCATCCTTTCTCAAACCACTCAGGTTCCTGTGCCTAAAGAACAAAAACAGTGCTTCCATAGTGTTTGCCACATACACAGAAAAACACCCGTCCATAGAGAAGGGCCCCCCCTTCGTCCAGCCTCTACTAAACTTTATTTGGTTTCTGCTGCTGGCAGTGGATGGGTAAGGACTGGTCTTAAATTCATTCTCATGTTTGAAGTATTAATAACTTTTAATTATAACTAAAACTGAATATTTTTATATTAATAAAATCTGAGCTTGTTCCTCTGCATTATAAATGTATTTGTTGTGTTGTCTCTTGTTTCAGGGGTAAGCTAACAGTTTTCACAGTGTTATGTGAGCAATATCAGCCTTCCCTGAAAAGGGATCCTATGTATAATGAGGTGAGTGATCCAAGAATTTGATACTTTGGTTTTGAATGATGTACAGTGGTGTTTGAAAGTTTGTGAACTCTTTATAATTTTCTATAATTCTGCATAAAAATGACCTAAAACATCATCAGATGTTCACACAAGTCCTAAAAGTAGATAAAAAGAACCCAGTTAAGCAAATGAGACAAAATATTATACTTTGTCATTTATGTATTGAAGAAAATTATCCAATATTACATACAGTGGGGAGAACAAGTATTTGATACACTGTTGATTTTTCATGTTTTCCCACTTGCAAAGCTTGTAGATGACTGTAATTTTTATCATAGGTACTCTTCAACTGTGAGTGATGGAATCTAAAACAAAAATCCAGAAAAATACAATGTATGATTTTTTAATAATTAATTTCCATTTTATTGTGTGAAATAAGTATTTGATCATCTATCAACCAGTAAGAATTTTGGCTCTCACAGACATGTTAGTTCTACTTTAAGAAGCCCTCCTGTTCTCCACCCATTACCTGTATTAACTGCACCTGTTTGGACTCGTGACCTGTATAAAAGACGCCTGTCCACACACTCAATCAATCAGACTCCAGCATCTCCACAATGCCCAAGACCAGAGAGCTGTGTAAGGATATCAGGGATAAAATTGTAGACCTGCACAAGGCTGGGATGGGCTACAGGACAATAGGCAAGCAGCTTGGTGAGAAGGCAACAACAGTTGGTGCAATTATTAGAAAATGGAAGAAATACAAAATAACGGAAAATCTCCCTCGGTCTGGGGCGCCATGCAAGATCTCACCTCGTGGAGCATCATTGATCTTGAGGAAGGTGAGGAATGAGCCCAGAACTACACGGCAGGACCTGGTCAATGACCTGAATAGAGCTGGGACCACAGTCTCAAAGAAAACAATCAGTAACACTCTACGCCGTCAAGGATTAAAATCCTGCAGTGCACGCAAGGTGCCCTTCCTCAAGCCAACGCATGTCAAAGCCCGTCTGAAGTTTGCAAATGACCATCTGAATGATCCAGAGGAGGAATGGGAGAAGGTCATGTGGTCTGATGAGACAAAAATAGAACTTTTTGGTTTAAACTCCACTCGTCATGTTTGGAGGAAGAAGAATGATGAGTACAACCCCAAGAACACCATCCCAACCGTGAAGCATGGCGGTGGAAACATCATTCTTTGGGGATGCTTTTCTGCAAAGGGGACAGGACGACTGCACCATATTGTGGGAAGGATGGATGGGGCCATGTATCGTGAGATTTTGGCCAACAACCTCCTTCCCTCAGTAAGAGCACTGAAGATGGGTCGTGGCTGGGTCTTCCAGCATGATAACGACCCAAAACACACAGCCAGGGCAACTAAAGAGTGGCTCCGTAGGAAACATCTTAAGGTCCTGGAGTGGCCTAGCCAGTCTCCAGACCTGAATCCCATAGAAAATCTTTGGAGGGAGCTTAAAGTCCGTGTGGCCCAGCGACAGCCCAGAAACCTGAAGGCTCTGGAGGAGATCTGTATGGAGGAGTGGGCCAAAATCCCTGCTGCAGTGTGCAAACCTGGTCTAGAACTACAGGAAACGTCTGATCTTTGTAATTGCAAACAAAGGTTTCTGTACCAAATATTAAGTTTCATTTTTCTGGTGTATCAAACACTTATTTCACACAATAAAATGGAAATTAATTATTTAAAAATCATACATTGTATTTTTCTGGATTTTTGTTTTAGATTCCATCACTCACAGTTGAAGAGTACCTATGATAAAAATTACAGTCATCTACAAGCTTTGCAAGTGGGAAAACCTGAAAAATCAACAGTGTATCAAATACTTGTTCTCCCCACTGTATTTGTGATGGTAAAAGTATGTGAACCTTTGCTTTCATTATCTGGTGTGACCCCCCCACGCAGCGGTAACTTCAACTAAACATTTCTGTAACTGTTGGTCAGTCCTGATCACCTTGGAGGACTTTTCTCCATTCCTCTGTGCAGAACATCTTCAACTCTGGATGTTGGTGGTTTCCTCACATTAACTGCTGCTTCAGGTCCTTCCACAACATCTGGATTAGATTGAGGTCAGGACTTTGACTTGTCCGTTCCAAAACATGAAGTTTATTCTTCTTGAACATTCTTTGGTAGAACCACTTGTGTGTTTAGGGTCATTGTGTTGCTGCATGACCCACCTTCTCTTAGATCCAGTTCACGAACAGATGTTCTAACATCTTCCTTTAGAATTCTCTGATATAATTCAGAATTCATTGTTTCATCAAGGATGACAAGCCGTCCTGGTCCAGATGCAGCAAGACAGGCCCAAACCATGATACTACCTCCACCATGTTTCACAGATGGGATCAGGTTCTTCTGCAGGAATGCAGTTTTCTTTCTCCAAACATAACTCTTTTCATTTAAACCAAAAAGTTTATTTTGGTCTCATCGTCCACAAAACATTCTTCCAACAGTCGTCTGTCTTTTCCACGTGATCTTTATCAAACTGCAGATGAGCAGCCATGTTGTTTTTGAAGAGCAGTGTGTTTCTCCTTCAACCTGCCATGAACCATTGTTGTTCAGAGTTCTCCTGATGATGGACTCATGAACATCAACATGAGTCAATGTGAGCGAGAACTTCAGTTGTTAGAAGTTACCCTGAGGTCCTCTGTGACCTCACAGACTATTCCACACCTTGGAGTGATGTTTGTTGGTCCACCACTCCTGGGGAGGGTAACAATGGTCGTGAACTTCCTCCATTTGTTCACAATCTGTGTGACGGTGGATTGGTGGAGTCCAAACTCTTTACAGATGTTTTGTAACATGTTCCAGCCTGATGAGCATCAACAACTCTTTTTCTGAGCTCCTCAGAAATCTCCTTTGTTCCTCTATGATCCACTTCCACAAACATGTTTAGAAGAGCAGACTTTGATAGATCCTGTTCTTTAAATCAAACAGGGTGTCCACTCACACCTGATCATCATCCACTGATTGAAAACACCTGACTCTAAGGGTGCATTCACACCAGCCCTGTTTAGTCCGCTTTAATCAAACTCTAGCTCGTTTTCCTAGAAAGTCCGGCTCGTTTAGGGAGGTGTGAACCATCGAACTCTGTCGCAGAACAAAAAGGCGAACTCTGGCCCGGGCTAAAACCTAGGTCTCGGTCCGGTAGAAGCGAACTCCAGCGCGGTTCGAGTACAGTGTAGTGAACCTGGTCTGACCCTGATCTGACCCTGATGACCTCAAATCTATCAGATGGACAGAGACTGTTATTTTCATTGATCTGAATACAGTCTGAGCCATCTGGTGACTTTCTTTCTTGAATTAATCAAGCAGAAAAGACAATTTTATAATCATTTACTGTTTTACAAATGTTTGATAATCAAATTGTGTTAGTTCCATTCAATGCTTACAGGTTGGAAAGAACTACTCATTTTTATTTTACATAAACAGTAAGTAATGATTTTTATTCCTCATTTAAAGAAGAAATCAGGTTAATATGCATTTCTTGATTCTCTGTCTGAAATGAGCCAAGCAATGTAAGTATGTGAAAGGTCGAGTTTCGGTCAACTAAAATGTTTACCGAGAAAGATGTCATGTTTAAACTTTTGCAGAAGATTACCAAGCGTGAGACTCCACGAAGTCTGGTCGTCTGCAATAATCTTTTCTGTATGTTGAAAACAATCCTTGACTTATGATAACATCTTACATCACAAAAACACACCTCTTTCTGGTCCATCGACCAATCAAAAGCTCTCAAATGAACCGGAAGTCGACCCAGTTTAAATGTGGCAACTTCCCAGTTCATGTTAGAATTGAGAAGGGAAGAGAATTCAGAAGAATTCCGGAGGATTCGAGAGTACAGAGTTGCTGACAATTAAGAGTCTGAAAGTTCTGAAGAATGAAAGGAGTTCAGTATTCTTGGGTGCAAACGCATTCAAGATGGTCCAGAGACGTTTTGGAATTATAACTTCTGTTTGAACAAACCACACACGACTATCTAAGGATTTCAGCCGCTCTCAACGGAGACGCTGAAAGGTCTGGAGGATTCTCTATCGAGCTGATCTATCATCTACCAGGTAACGGTCTCTTCTTCGACTAAAGTGTACCGGAGGCGAGCTGAGATCTGATGAAGCGTGCACGTTCTGGTCAAACAGATTAATTCCCTCACATAGTTCTCTGTAAGATAAATCTCCATGTCATCTTAAAACTCTCCTCTTTCTCATAAAATCAGTACAGATATTTTAGAAATATCTGAAGCAAAGTCCTCGTTCACCGCCGAGTGATCGATGCTCATTTTCATGTGAAATCACTGTTATTGCTTTACACTATTCCACCAAATTAATATAAACAGTGTGCCGTAAAACGCTTTATTCTGTTCACTACAACTGGTGGCCCGTCACGGCTCATAAATGACTGTAAAAACGTGTAAGATTGATTTTTTCATGTTGGCATGTTGAAAAAATAACAGTTTATTAGCTGTGCTGAAATACTGCATGTTTACGCAGCGAGCTGGAGCTGCGCGCTTACACCTTTGCTGTCACGCTGGCAATGTTTTAAAAGCTGGAATTGTGTCATCGAGTCTTGTGAAAGCTGACATTGTACGCCTGTTACGTGTAACTAAGCTGATGAAGCTGTGGAAAACGTTATTCTG